GTCTATGAAGTCAAGCCTGATACACCGTGTATAACCCATATAGCACAAAATATTTCTTGAAAACTGGTTTTTGCTCCAACATTAAATATTTTTTAAACAATGCTAATAAAATATTTTCCTACGAGAGTGCTCAAAGTTACACTTTTCGGCAGTCTGTGCGGATAAGTCTGGTATCCGAGTATCCGCACTGAATGCCGAAAAGTAAAAATAATTGTCAAACAACAATAAGTGCACCTGTCGACTTTGACACATGATGACATATTTTTCCTCTGTTTCTCTGTCTGTTTCTATCAATAAACTATAAACAAAAACTGGAATGCGCATACACATATTGACGAACGTTAAGCCTAGTGCTGCTGCTGCGGAGGGGATGCCTGTTTTTGTCGTACTCATTACGTTAAATGGCGGAAATTGATTTCAACACGTGTTCCAATCAATTAAACCTGTGTAGGCAAATATAACAAAACTTTCCAAAACGTCATATGTCAGCGAGCAACAGATAGCAACATTCGCCCTTGTGGCATCCGTGTTTGATGGCTCCACTTTTTGGCGGATATGGCAATGAGTGTGCGCATTCCAGTTTTTGGTTATAGTTCATTGGTTTCTTATCAGCCAACATCTATACAGACGCTGAATAAAATTAACTTTGACACATTGTCAGATTTGTTTTTCATTGATATGCAAGAATCTTCAAACTTCTTTTTCATTAAATTTAAACGCTTCAAGATGAACAGCTCTGACCATGATTTCCTGTTATTTTTTTTTGTTATGTAATTTCTTGATGAACGGTTCAAGTTAATTAAAAATAATTGAACAAATTATTGTTTTTTTTTTCAAATTTTTGTTGTAACCTATAGTATTTGTAATACCCATTTAGAATAACCTCATCCTTATTTATCAATCACGAATCAGATGGAACAAAAAATTATCAACAAAAACAAAGGTCGATTGATACGTCAATTTCATCTACAAATAGGAAATTCCTGACCTAATTTTATTTGTGTGTCGAGAAGCGACATACGTTTTGTCACTAAAACGACAGGTACTTCTAAATAGGTATTAAAAATACTATACCTGATATGAAGCTCGTAAGAAAAATTTTGTACGCAAAGAGTCTTTTCCGCACGCAAACATAGTTTATACGAACGACGTAAAGTAACACTTTGCGCACTTGTTAGGAAAATAACTATTTTAAAAGATGGCAAACAACATTCGTGACCAAACATTGGTTTCGAAATATTTTTAAAATACAGTTTGTTCATGATAAGGATGAGATAGCATTAGGATCTGGAGAACGGTTAGTTGCAATGTTGGTTAGATTAGGAAAAAGTTGCGCAATTTAACCGTCAATAAAATGGTACTAGACATTTGAACAATCCCGAACATTTTCCGACCCGGAAAAAACCGAAACTTTGTAGAATCGATTTTATTTTATTTTTTTCGAGCTGATTCGAGGAGATATTTTAAAATAAATGTCACTTCATCGTAAAAACTTTTTCTACTCGACAAGATGACATTTCCACCATCATTAACTTAATTTTTTTAAATACGTTCCTTGTTCTTCGATTTTAGATTTCTTAAGCTCTAGTGTCCCAAAACCAATGACGTATTATACTTGAATATAAAATAAGGGTCTGTATTAAAATAAGGAAATTGATGATAGTGGCCCAAAGACGAAACGTCAAATTTTAAAATTGATAATATCGTCTTGTCTTATGGAGTAGGGAAAGTGGTAACGATGAAGTGACATTTATTTTGGAATATCTCCTCAAATAAGCTCAGGAAAAAATAAAATCAATTTTGCAAAATTTCGGGTTTTTCCGGATATCTCGGAAAATGTTCAGAATTTTCCAAATGTGAAAGTACCATTTTATTGAGTGTTAAATTGCGCAACTTCTTCCTAATCTAATAATTGTAACTTCAACCGTTCGTCAGATCTTAATGTTATCCCATCCTTATCTTGGACACACTGTATATTTCAAAAGTATCATTATTTTCACAAACATATCCAAAATACCGCGTGTGGCTAAATTCAGCTAGTGTAGGTACCGTAGTGGAATGTTAGAAGAAGCAGTGTTGTTAAATTAAACAGAGTTTGGCATTAGATGCATAAGTGAATCGATAAATCACTACATCATCAGTGGCATTGCAATATTTTGGTGAACTCAGCCATACGTGGATATTTTCCAATGGATTTTTTTCTGAACATCTTGAAAACATTATCAAAAGAATATTTTTCTCGTACCTAAATATTTTAAAAATATTTCGTGTGGAGTCTGAGATATTTGAGAAACATCACGTGGATGTTCAATAACTATGGATTCTGTAACGCAGAATGTCCTAAAAATATATTTTTTGGAAATTTGGATGTTTTAAAAATATCTTTTGAAGCTTCAAAACATCTTTGGCTATATGGGAAGTGGAAAATTAACATAACATTCCTGTTCAGAAGACGGCGATGCGGTTGTAGAAGGCGTCTCCAGACATAAAACAAACAACTTACCGGTATTTTCCATCGAAAGATTTTGCTAGCTTCGTTGCTCAAGGCACACTTGACATTTTAAGAATGTGAGCTGATAATCAGTACAAGGGCATTAAAATCAGGAGCTTTGACAAGGTCCCTAGAGACTATGTGATGTCGATAAATGAACACTCATTAGGAGCATTCAAGGATTTTATACATGCTTCTGAAGAGACAACCGTGGAAAAAGGCAGCACTGAACTAAAGGTAGAGGTATAGGCGCTGCCCTAATGGATGAGTTTATATCGAGCTTGGATGACTTAAAACTTTCGATATTTTATCTATAGGTTTAAAACACAGAGGAAAGCAGAGACATATTCATGTCTTCCCATTTAATCAAGAAGAAGTTAGAACCATAGTCGCTGCATAAAACTTCAACAAAGATATTTCAGTAGGGAAAGCCAATCGTTCGACAAACCAGAGAAAGAGGGGAAGTCATCGCTAGATTATAGCCATCCATTACCATATCAGGGTCCAAGTGGCTTTAAACCTTAGACAAGGAAAGAGAGGGGACTCGTAACACAGCAGGTGAAAATGAAGCAGTTTGCCACCAAAAAATGTCTGCTTTTTTCATAACATAACCTAGAAAGCATATTGTTTTTTGCCTGTTAAATGTAATCCCGTCGACTTTTTTTTCTCTGCGGGTTTTGCAGCCATACGCTAGCAATTTACCATGCTGAATATCACAAAAATGTTAGTCTGAAGTAAAATTCACATAGTGGCACCATGAAAAATTGTCGCCATTATTTGGTGGCAAACGGTCACAACCAGCTGCTAGTGCAGGTAAAGGATGTTACGCGTCCTCTCTCTTTCCTTGTCTAAGCTTTAAACTATAGAACTCAAAAATACATTTTGGCAGGCGGAATCTAAGAGAAGCTAGCCTTTACTGCGGCAACGGATATTGCCCTCAAACAGAAGCCATTGGAAGAATAAATGGCAAAGATAATTGGATTCAAGGCCCCGACTGTACTCGTATTTCGTATGCTACCACAGGAGCCTTGGTATATTACGGAATTATCAATTAAAAAAAAAGGAAATATGTACTAGATCTAATGCCAAAACATCGAAAAGCTTACGAAGAAACTATTTGTTTGAAAACTGTACCTACCTACCAGCTTAGTAAAATTGCTAAAATAAGATTAAAAGGAGCCAGATCTGAATCTGTGGTAAGCTCACGTCATTAGTTCTATTATAAAATTAATTTTAAAATATCAAATCCCTTAACGGTTGCAAGTGAAACCGCAAAAAGGGCGATTCAAAACGAAACCTAGTTAGAAGGTTTATTAACGATCAGAACGATCACGCAGGTTTTAAACCACCTCTTACATATTGCCCGTTAATAGACCAAGCATATGGTCTGTTTTACGGGTTTGAAAATAAAAAGTGCTTTGTTCTCATGCTCACGCAATTATAAACATATTAAGGCGTAACAATTGAAAAACAAGTCATGAACATCAGGAAAGTGCCCTTTTCTTCACCCTTTACAAATTTTCTAAATCGTTTTTTATATTATGATGACAGCTTAGAGTATATATAGGTGAGCATAACAAAATCTCTTTGAAAATAATATCGAGAAGCATCAAAGAAACATCTTAGTAGTTGTACTGTTAATTATAGGTATCTGCTTATTATAAGACAGATACATTTTAAAGTTATGTTTTTATATTATTGAAAATTTTCGTGTCTGTGCTATCTGTGAAACAATTTGAGAAATCTGATGTCGGCTGATTTGGTACAATGGAAAGGGCTTTCTATTATTTTCGGAAACTTAAGTCTTTTCGTTAAAATTCTGAAAAAGTTTAGATAAAAATGTTTTGACAGCCAATTAAATTTTAATACATTTTATATCATGGGACACAAATCACCCAATCATTTCAATAATACCTATACTGAAAAAAGATACCACGGGCTGTTTTCACGCTCCTCTGTATTTGTTTCCATAATTAGCAAAGCATTTTTTATCCGAACCACCCTCGAACATTGGAAAATGCTCAAACAACCTTCCCAAGCTTGTTGCTTATAGGCTTTCCAAGTTGCCCTATTTCCAAGAAACAAGCTTTCGAAATCTGGTATAAATTTTTTTCGAACAATTATTATCAAGGTCTTTGGGTTGTAACTAAAATTGGATGATTAAGTATTGCGGTTTTAGGGCAAAAAATCCGAGACCTTTTCTTATCAAAAAAGTTCCGACGTTTCGACCTATATTGAGTCTTTTTCAAGGATAATCCTAAAAATTGAAAAGGGCTCGGGTAGAAAAAAATAAGCCAGAATGCATCAGACGATGAAACAGATGAAAAATATAAGAAAAAAACTATATATGCATTTAAATATTATTTAATATAATACATGTAGCTGACGAGTGACGAATAACATGCAATATGGATCGAAACGTCGGCTTTTTTGATAAAAAAAAAGTTCTTTGATTTTTGGAAACCTGCAATACTGCCCCCAGTTTTAACTACTGAAAGTAAAACACAGATTTGTAATAAAAACTTTAAATTTTTTATTCTAATATTTACTAAATTTAACATTAATATACATAGTTATTGAGCCAAGAAAAATAAAAAAAAAGATTACATCAAATTTTGGGGTGCAATCATACAGGTATCGATTAACTTAACATCTGGCTATCATACAACCAGCAATTTTTTGGAATGTTACCGAATATTATTTACACTAAAGCCTTCAATGTACAAAAAAAAATTGCCTGTCTCTATACGACACTTAAAAGCATTAAAATAAATTATTGGTTTTTTTATAATACAATTTATATCACATTATCACGAACACCTTTTTTTTCAAACTTTATACATGTATGGTATCTTCATCGTCTGAAGGAGGTGACCGACCTCCTGGTGAACCTGGTGATCCAGGATCCAAGGGAGTATCCGGACTTGGTGACCTAGGAGAAGGACCTTCAGAAGTATGATTCGAATAATAACTAGACAAATTGCTTAATGAACTACTGGCCGCTAGGGATCCCAAATGTGCACTTGGTCCGGGAATTCCCAGGCCCATTCCAGGAGGATACAGCCTATAGGGAAGTGGTTTTTGTAAAGTAGCTGCTGCAGCTGCAGCTGCTTGTCGATAGTAGAGATCGGCGGCTGTGGGAGCTGCCTGAGGACCTGCGTTTTGTGGTGGATACCAGCAACCGTATGGTGGTCCACCGTATAGTCTTTGGAAAGCAGCGTAGTTGCCAGCTTCTGCTAGTAGTTCAAGACCTACGGCTGTTTGTCGTTTCCACTTTGTTCTGAAAGAAAAGAGAAAACAAATTAGGGCTTATGAATTTATATTTTTAGAATAAATTTATTGTAGAGGGTAAATAATTCAGGCACCATTGTAGTTTTGAAATAAATAATTTATATTATATTGGTGATATTCATTATTCTCTTCCTCAGAGAAAACCCCGATGGATCTTTCAGATTTATATTAAATCTAAAAAAGCTGAATGAATTTTTAAATTCGCCGCATCTTAAGCTTGAGAATTATCGCACTGCAAAAAACCAGATTTTACAAAATTATTATTTTACTTCGCTCGACCTTAAAAATGCAGTTTTTGCAATGCCAAAGTACCTAGCATAATGTGCAGATATATGCACTACCAAATACGACTATCTTCTTCTCCAGGTGCCATCTCCGCGACGGAGATTGGCAATGGCTATTCGTAGTTTGGAGGCGGCTTCTATGAAAAGTTCGTTAGATGTACATCCATAACATCCTGTCAAGTTTCGCAGCCATGATGTTCTTCTTCTTGCTATGCTTCTTCTTCTTGGATTTTCCTTGCAAAATCAATTGAAGCATGGCGGTACCTTTCGCCGCGTATGGATTCCCGAGGTATTGTAGTTTTCTAACCTTACTTGTTTGTGTGATTTTCATTTGTTTTTGCATTGCTCTCATGTTTTCATTATTCTTATGATATGATTATGTGTTCTTTCCATCATATCTTCACAATTTTAATGTACACCCAGAATACAAATGATTCTAGTTTTTCCGGCTGCCGCATTTACGGTTTAGGTTTCCATTCCGTAAATTAACGCCGAGAAAACATAACAAATATTTGGGAAGGAAAATCTCTAATAAGGGAACCGTAGACGAAAAATCGAAATCCTCCAAAAACGGATACTAAATGGAGTACTTTTTGACGAAAAAATCAACAAACAAAAAAAAGGAAATGATAAACAATACCATCGTCAACATCAAACAGCATTGTCACATAGACTCAGAGATCTGGCCACTAGAGGGAAGGACCGCAAAATGCTGTAGACCGAAGCGAAATTGCCATATGGAGGGCGGCAGGCAGGTAGGTCAGAACTGGAAATATAACAAAGTGAAAATCAGGAAAATGATGAACGCAGCCCAGGCAGAAAATGAAGGCTACCTTGTTGGATCTTTTCTAGTCACTGCTGGAATATGTAAAACAACGAAGCAAAAAATCGAGGTCCTATTCAGTGGATACTTCGCCAGTTACAGACCGGTTCTGAACTAATTATACGGTTCTGAACTCATTATATAGTTTAAGTCATTGAACAAAACCATAATCCATGCTATAAATGAGCCCAAATAGCAACTATGAAGTTTTTCAAAGCACAATCGAAACATCACCTATGTAGGCAAATCGTATGTAACAAATACCGATATCTGCTCAACAGTGTGACGAATCTAATCAGTACCTATATTTTCCAATTACCTAACTAAGCGTTACGTGTACAAATCCACTGTCTCCACCTCATACTATGGGCAAAGTCTCTATTGGGTTGTATCGCGTCTATGTCACTGCTAGATTATCCCAAATGAGTGATGGTGCTGTGCGAAGCAATTAATTTCTGAATGTGTATTTATTTGTTCTACGTTGCCCAACGAAAAATCAGTCATTCCTTTAATATCGTGCGAGATCATTGTTAATGAATGCTATTCGGTATCAAATATTTACTTTAAAACTCCGAAAAAAAATTATCTCTGGCAGCCAGACTTCTTTTTCAGTTTCTATAAAGCATCTTGCGGCCTAAATTAGAAACGGTCATCACACAAAAAACTATTCAACTACCTGACTATCAATAAATTTGAATTGGTCTCGGTATCGGGACCGGTTAATGAAACTGCTTAAACATCGTAATTTAAATCTAAGTGTTAAAACACACAAAACGTTTCTCCTAAAGTAAACACTGCATTCCGACCGTGGACTGTGTAAGAAGTCTGCTGGAAAAAGCCGCAAGGTAATAAAAGCCATTCAAGCATTTTATGACAGAATTCACCGTGACAAATTCGAGAATTTGCCCGTCATAAAAATGGTTTTTAAGAAACGGGTTAAACGAACTGGACTGAGCGTTTGTTGAAATGTAAAGTTTCAAGCATTAATGTTTATTTTGCAAAAAAAACAATCTTTTTGTTTAAAAATGTGACGACCTGAAAAACATTACTTACGAACCTAATTTATATGATGACATTACTACTGAGATTAGACAAAAATTGCTTGATTCTTCGTCAAAATTTATCGAAAAACATCAAACATAGTGATTGTTAGAATTGGTATTTCACTGATGGTTAAATTACTAATGATAAGTAGGAATTATCAGATCAGATCAGGTATAAAATAATAAAATTTTTAGACAATTTCCTTCAGTTCAGATCTGTTAGGTATTATATATATATATATATTAAGGAAATAATTTCGCTCGTTTTTTAGAAATCACCCTGTATTTCATAAACTAAAAAGAATTTGGCAACACTGTGAACAATTCTGGAATGGGCAGCAAAAAAGGCAACTTTTTTATAATTTAACCGACATTGCAGCTCTTACCGTTTCGAATATAGCAATGGTAGTATCACTTAAAATATACACCCTGTATATATATATATATATATATATATATATATATATATATATATATATATATATTCTAGCAAATCTAACAACAAACTATATTTTCATATATACCGTTAACCATCTTCAACAGATAATGTTAATGAGTTTTGTTCAGCCCGCAAGCTTTCGTCAATTAAGTCCTTCTCATATAGATTGTGCAAAATATACCTACCTACGATTTTTTAGTGTCTCGCAACAAGAATTTTCAGAAAAATCATTTTAACAATTAATAGGCTTTGACTAACAATTTTTGATAAACTTTACTCCTATATATTTATTAATATAAACTATCCTTTAATATACTTTTTAATATTTAACAAGAATTTGGCTTTCGCATTTATTCATGTGTTAGTTTGCAAATGAAATTTTTCCATGGAAGACGTTAATATTTTGAAGACTGCAATGAAAGGAGAAAATTGTATTCACTGGAAATGATTCATCGAAATCACTGGCAAAAAACCCCGTCTTAAATTTGTTTAAATAAGATATTCATTCTTGAACCCCAAATAATTTGTGATAACATTTAATAAGAATAAAACCTCTAATACTTAATTGTTTCATTTTTATTATACCTATATTCTTTAAATTCCACATCACTGTTAGATTCGTCTGCGATATATTTAAAGGCTAATAATTGACTTTGTCTCCTTATAAATTTAATTGACCTTATAATGAATATAGATATTCATATAAATATAGATATAGATATAGATATAGATATAGATATAGATATAGATATAGATATAGATATAGATATAGATATAGATATAGATATAGATATAGATATAGATATAGATATAGATATAGATATAGAGATAGATATAGATATTCATATAACGATTAAGACCTGGGACGGCGATTTGAAAAAATTAGGTCGTTGATCGTCTAATATTCTGTCAAAATTTTAGAATTTTTAAAATTGAGCTTTATGTGGGAGATAATTGGAAGTTACATTTCAGCAACAAAGTGCAAACGAAATTGAAACAATTTTTAACTTCTTATTCGGAAAAACTTTCTTCCAAAAAGAAACTCAAAAGCTAATGTCTAGTCCAATTTGCAAATATCCGTTTCCAAACCACACAATACACAAAATAATAAACGAGAGACGCTTCCAGATTTACATATCGAATACTACACGGGCAATAAAATCATTAGTGTTTTGATTTATGAGAGTGGTTTGAGTTGAGAGAGGAGTCGAAAAGAGGGGTAATTTATTTTAAAATGGGGGTTGGACCACTGTAAAGGGTAGACAAATAAAAGGATACGACTTCGAAATGAATCTATTCACCAGCGGTAATAGGTTCTAAATGATAATAAATCCGTTGGTTATAAAAGCGACATCCTCGGATTTTACAAGGGCATTAAACACAGTTGACAATTGTATGGTTAGGATTGAATTTACAAACAAGCTAAGGCTGTTTAGAGTTTATGTTAACTATGCATAAAATATTAGTAATAAAACACGAACAGTTGTTGAGATTAACAATTCCAACAATACCAGTAAAATTATTAGTTGCAATATTTTAAATTTTGAATAATAAAATCAAATGCAAATCTACAAAATCCCGTTAAAATATAAAACTTATATTGATTGGTTTGTCCGAACAAAAATTTATGAATTTTTGAATATCTATATTTATCAACGGATATGTGATTACGTTTTCACAAGCTGAGTAATTTCAAATAAATTTAACTAGAAATATGGTGGACATTGTATGTAGGTAGTATTTTCAGATGTATTATTTTTTTGATGGAAATACATCATATTCGAATTTATATTTGGATCGTGTATTTGTTTAAGAAATTAGCATATTTTTACACATTGAAAAAAAAGTAATTGGATTCGATTGCTGAATTTAGACTAGATATTATCTTAGAAATATTAAAAAAAAAACTTATAGATGACACATACAGGTTTGAAGATCTCATCAAGATCTATCATACCTGTGGTTTCGTTTCAAAATTTTTTTAGTTGCTGCCAAATCGAATTTTGTCAGAATGATCAAGAATTATAAACTTTAGGTTATAGGTACTACGTTTAAGCTTTATTTGAGATACTTCAAGTCAAGTTTTGATTTTGAAGTTAGTTTTGAACTTTATTGATTCCGCATTCACTTTTATTGAATTTTAATATGATAATTATAATGTTTTCTGTTTGGGAAAGTTTAAAACATAATTCCAAGTACACGAGGCTCCTTCTAACACACAAAAACAAGAACAAATTTTCATTCGAAATTCTATTACATAATCATTAGCGTTTGCGCATATCGCAAAATGTAATCCATTTCTATCAAGGGCCGAGGAAATTTCGTTTTTATTGTATACAGACACTTTTAATAGTTATGTTGTGCAACTTAAAGAAGCACAAAAAAGTAGTATATGTACAA